AGAATGATGGCAATGGTGTGAGTGTGGCTAATGATGTCAGACTTGGAAGACCCAGAGAAAGAACCAACTGCAGTGGTTGGTTGTGGCTGATGATGTCAGACTCAGGAGCTCCAGACATAGGATCAAGAGCAATGGTGTAGTGTAGCTAATTATGTCCAACTCAGATGCACAGAGGAGGGGACCAACCGCAATGATTGGTTGTTGCTGATGATGTCAGGCTCAGGAGCATCAGAGAGGGGACCAATGACAATAGTGTGAGTGTGGCTGATGATGTCAGACTCAGGAGCGCCAGAGAGGGGACCAATGGCAATGGTGTGAGTGTGGCTAATGTTATTAGACTCAAAAGCACAGAAGAGGGAACCAAATGCAATGGTTGGCTGTGGCTGATGATGTCAGACTCACAAGCTCTGGAGAGGAAACCAACAGCAATGATGCAGGTGTGGCTTATGATATTCAACTCAGAAGCACAGAAGAGGGGACCAACAGCAATGGCTGGCTGGGATTGATGATGGACCAAGACAGGAGCACCAGAAAGGGAAACAAGGGAAAATGGTGTGAGGGTGGCTAATGATGTTAGACTCAGAAGCACAAAAGAGGGAACCAAGTGGCTGATGATAGACTCACAAGCTCCTGAGAAGGGACCAATGGGAATGGTGTGAGTGTGGTTAATGATGTCCAATTCAGAAGCAAAGAGGAGGGACCAACCGCAAAGTTTGGTTGTGGCTGATGATGTTAGACTCAGGAACTCCAGACAGGGGACCAATAGCAATGGTTTAAGTGTGGCTGATGGTGTCAATGTTAGAAGCACAGGAGAGGAGACCAACGCAATGATGAGGGTAAGACTGATGATGTCAGACTTAGAGGCACAAGGGAGCGAACCAGCAGCAAAGTCATAGACACAGCTAATAATGCCAGATTGACATCATAAATCACCTGCACACTATTCCCATTGGTCCGCTCTCCTGCTAGTCTAAGTCCAAAATAGAGTACACAATAATAATTCGGTCAGCCACATAGAACTTCTGTGACCGACTTGCTAGTTTGTCATGCAAAGAGTCATAATCATATTTAATAGGGGAAAACAGATTGGTGGCAATGATGGGATTGAGTATTTCAAGTTTACACATTATCCAAGACCACACCTCCATAATAAGACTTACCACCCATTAAAGTTAAAATTCTACTCCACATGCTTTAGTTATTATATTCAGGTGCCTCTGTAGAGGAACCTTTGTCCTACACAGGGCCATTTGAGATCTAGGGCTTCAACTCTTTCCTTGGGCTTGACTTCCATCACTGGATCCTGTAGGCTTATAAGTTTTACACACTAAGAAAAACGGGCTTCTAGAATCACTTCTTTTACTTACAACATTTTCCTGTTTTACTGGTTTTAATCTGGCTCAGAATATTATGACAGTATATATTGTAAGTAGGTTTACATTGCCTCCAATAGACACAGGCATACTGAGGCTGATGGTAAATCCACCTTTGAGCTGGACATTTACTTAATTCACTGGCATTAGAGTTTGCAATTGTGGCCTTTAGTGCAGTGGAGAATAAGTCACATGTCCCCAGATTACCGCCACTGTCCAATCTGGAACATCTCCTTTCCTCTGCCACACAAAGGAACAGCCTGAGACATTCCTGTAACATGTTGGTTTTTACAGCCCGGCATTATCCTGTGGAGCTGTGCAATCAATTACTGTTATACCACCATCATTAATAATTTTCTTAATGAAAATGATTCTGTTGATCTCCGCTGTATTTTAATTATCAGAGTTAAGCATAATTACATTGCAGCTCTGAGCTGGCATGTACACTCCTTTAGGGCGCAATTTTGTTTTAACACACTGATAATGTAATTTTACATTGTGTCAGTTGTTTAGTTATTATCCAGTCGTACAATTCCGCTGTATTCCTGATAACAGATAATAACCTTAGTACCTACCATATCCTGAAGTCATTTAAAAAGCAATATTGGAATTTCTTAACTAGCTAACTTAATCGTCTTATGAATGTATAATTCCCATTGCTAAATATTTGTCCCGCCACCCTGCTTTAATAATGCCTCTAAACGCAGGTAACCATACATGTAATGAGAAAGGAGAGATAATTGTGTTTCTTTACACAAACATGGTCGGGTCTTGCTGTTGTTTCAGATCGCCACAGTTGCTGTCTTAGAAAACTGAAATTCTAAGAGTAGCAGGCTTTTTCAATGACACAAATAGCAATGTACAAAAACCCAGAGCAACCAATCACAGCATGTCCTTCACTGATCCCATGTCATAAAATAAGCCTTGATTGGCTGTGCATTGTCATGACTCTGCTCCTTCGTAGGCTGTCTACCAACATTCCAATTGTTAGTACATCATCATTTTTTGTTGTTAAGCGATTCGATATGCATCATAAACATAAAGAAGAGTTCAGAGGCTGCTGAAAAACCGCTGAACAGCTCCTGAACGTGAGTTTAGCAGCTGTAGTGTACATGAGCCCTTAAAGAGCATGCAAAAAAGGACAAACAGCACAACAGAAAGCCTCCCACTAGAGACAACACCATTGATGCATTTCACCTGCTACTGAGCGTAATCCCTACCATTAAACTCTGTAGGGGGTGAAATGCGTCAGTGGTGTAACTTCAAGTGAGATATTTTCCTGGGTGCGCTGCTTTTCCCTTTTGTTTGCTCATTAAATTTCACAAGATGCTCCAACATCATCGGTGTGGAGCCCGATCCTTTATGATAATTTTCTGTTATACTCATTTAAGTGTCCCTTGTGACGCCATCATACATGTTTTCTTTTTTTTTCCCAATACTAATTAAAAATAAAAAAAAAGAATTGCACTAGCCCTCTCAGAAGCTTGTTTAACATAAAGCACTTGTGGACAAGCATTTGGGGACGAGGATTGAATTCATTTTTCTTTTGTCTGGAAACCTCTTGGAATTTGTGAGTAAATTCAGTACAACTGGGGAGGGGGTTAGAGATTGTACAGAGGAGTCACAAGACTCTCAGCAGCTTGGTGGAATAGGTAAATAGTAACAATGTATATGAAGCAGGAACCATGCTAGCTTTAATAGCATTTGCAAAAATATTCTTCTGATAAAAGATTTTGGAGCCCAATGGTATCAGTTTTTCAGTGTATTCAGGGTAGTATGATGACTAAATACAGCGCTGGATTTATGAAAGAATAATTATACATTTTGCAAAAAATAATTGTACCCACGTTGATTTAAAAAAGGTACATTTTTTTTTCTAATTTGAAGCTGCAAAGCATTGTAATCAGATCAAATATGCAATGCTGAAAGTGCTACAGATTAATCTTTCAGCCTCAGGTCAATACTGAGGTATGGAACTTTGGTTATGGAGATGGAGGAAGTATCAATGGACTTCAGTTCTTCAATAAGATCTATGAATCCTTCCCCCCATGCCAAATTAAAAAATAAACAGGGTACTACATGAAGGAAAAGCTTCAGTAAGGGGTAGGCAGTATGGGGGTGGGGAGCTGCAGCAGACTATGAACATGTTCCATGTTACACCCTAAATATGGGTATCAGGTAAATATTCATAACCTGGTGATTACTGGAACCTCCATAAAACATCAGACTGAAGAAATCAGCCCACCAGGCTTAGGAAAACCTACAGAGCCCTAGATAGATAAAAAGGAACTCAGGCTGGTTACAGCCTAGCAGTAACACATTCTAAATGTATTAGAGAGATACTATCTAAAATATGTACTGCCATGAAGGATTTGTTTTATATTGATATCCAACAATAAAATGGATGTTTCATATCAGTGGTCTTCAAACTGCAGCCCTTTGCTTGCCCTTGGGGCACTATTCCTCCACTGACATTAACAATGGGCCATAATTCCTCCCACTGACATTAACAATGGGCCATACTTCCTGTCACTGACACCAATGTTGGGGCACTATTCCTCTCTCTGATACCAATAATGGCGCATTATTCCTCTCACTGACACCAATGATGGAGCACTATTCTTCCCACTGATACCAATGATGGAGCACTATTCTTCCCACTGATACCAATGATGGAGCACTATTCCTCCCACTGACACCAATTATGGGTCACTATTCCTCTCATTGGCACCAATTATGGGGCACTATTCTTCTCACTGACACCAATGATGGAGCACTATTCCTCTCACTGATACCAATGATGGGGCACTATTCCTCCCACTGATACCAATGATGGGGCACTATTCCTCTCACTGATACCAATGATGGGGCACTATTCCTCCCACTGATACCAATGATGGGGCACCATTCTTCTCACTGACACCAATGATGGGGCACTATTCTTCCCACTGACACTAATAATGGGCACTATTCCTCCCACTGATACCAATGATGGGGAACTATTCCTCTCACTGATACCAATGATGGGGAACTATTCCTATTACTGACAGCAATGATAGGGCACTGTTCCTCTCATTGACACCAGTCATGGGCACTATTCTTCTCACCGACACCAATGGTGGGGCACTATTCCTCTCACTGGCACCGATGATGGGGCATTGTTACCAATGCCAGGACTTCTACTCCTACTGGCCACAGTCCGGCCCCTGTTAAGTCTGAAGAATAATAAACTGGCCCTTTCTTTAGAAAGCTTGGAGACCCTTGTTTTATATAAAGGATTGTAATCTTGTGGAACGACTTATGACTCCTTGAAGGGTCCTGTTGCACAAAAATAATTCTGTCTTTAGTTCTAAACATTGAATGGTAGGTAAAGGCTATGTTGGCCTGTGGACCTAATTGGTGATTTAATCTGATTGTCAGTAATCGAATACCAAACAACTGGCTAATACTATACAAACATTTTTGCCTTTATGAAATTAATGCCTTTAATGGTAATTTAAATAAAATAGAAAGTCAGTATAAAAATATACATTTTAATATTTGATTTTTTTTTTTTTTTTTTTAGTTTGTTTGAACAAAAACAACACAATAAATGTTTACTTTGACACTCCATGAATTAAAGTGTTACTAAACCCACACAACAATAAAATCAGTCTGTATATGCAGTAAAGCATGCTTGTTATACTCACTGTGGAACCTAAGGGGTTAATCCTCTGCATTGTGTAAAAATGCTGTTTGATCCTGATCCTCAACTTGTTCCAGTGTCTCCCTCTTATCTCCTGGTAAGATATATTGTGTGGAGCCACTCTGCACATGCTCAATTTGGTGTGTATTGCTGTTTTTTTATTTCTTGAGAGAGGGCATGTGATCAGCACTGTCCAGAGAGAGGTCAGGGTACCACCTATCAGTGCTGTCAATCAGTGCCACCTATCAGTGCCAGTCAATGCCGCCTATCAGTGCCAGTCAGTGCCACCTATCAGTGCCAGTCAGTGCCGCATATCAGTGCCAGTCAGTGTCGCCTATCAGTGCCTGTCAGTGTCGCCTATCATTGCCAGTCAGTGCCGCCCAATAGTGCCAGTCAGTGCCGCCTAACAGTGCCAGTCAGTGCCACCTAACAGTGTCAGTCAATGCAACCTTAAATTGTCAGTCAGTGCCGCCTATCAGTGCCAGTCAGTGCTGTCTATCAGTGCTACCTATAAGTGCCGCCTATCAGTGCCATATATGAGTGCTGCCTTTCAGTGCCCATCAGTGATGCCTGTCATAGCCCATCAGTGCCACCTACTAGTGCCTCCTTGTCAGTGCCCATCAGTGCAGCCTATCAGTGCCCATCACTGCAGCCTCATTAGTGCATATCAGTGAAGGAGAAAAATCACTTATTTACAACATTTTATAACAAAAACTAAGAAAAAATGTTTTTTTTTTCAAAATTTTCAGTTGTGTTTGGTTTGTTTAGCAAAAAATTAAAAACCCAGAGGTGATTAAATACCACCAAAATAAAGCTCTATCTGTCTCAAAAAAATGATAAAAATTTAATATGGGTACAGTGTTGCATGACAGCGCAATTGTCATTCAAAGTGCAACAGCGCTGAAAGCTGAAAATTGGCCTGGGCAGGAAGGGGGTATAAGTGCCCGGTAGGCAAGTGGTTAAAATCATGCTCTTGTGAATGATTGATGGCCACAGCGATAAGGATTTTACAATCTGTCCAAACATTTTTCTCGATTTATTTGTTAGGATTGAAATACGAAAACGATCAGTTCATCAAAAAAATCTTATCAATGTGTGTATGGCCTGCACCATATCTCTTATTACTCTCCATATTACTCTGTGTGCAGTCAAGGAACTGTCTGTGTATCCCACAACAACCAATCGGAATCTTTCTTTCATTAGTATTTTTTTATTAAAAGAAAAATAGTTGAGATGCCATGCTGCTTCTAACCTTGTATCCTATCAATGCCTTCCCATGGAATTAAAAGGCCTGGGCAGGTTTCTATATAATGTTTATATTGTGCAATAAGATATGACAAGCGCATCCTCCTCAGATGTCTTTCTCCTGACTTGGCATTTAAAATATGTTTTAGCAGCACAAATACACACAGCTTTCTGCCCTGTGATCAGAGGTGTGGGGTCACGGCAGAGAAATTCTGCCAAGTTTAACTCATTCTGTATCTGGCCGCGTCTACCAAATGGATCTGCTGCTACTCGCTGATTAGAATGGGGTCTTTAGAAAAGGCTGAAATGGTCAGCTTGCCTTTTTTCTTTTCTTTTTTGTACATTCCGCTACCAAGTATTTAAGCTTTTCTGAGTATTAGTTTCAGCACTACTATTCAATAAAGCTGAGCTCCAGGTACAAATCTAAATACACAGACAAAATACATATATAACAGCAGTTTTACATGTCAAAGGATTTGCATTTCTGCCCATCCAGTCCTGAGAATTACACAGCTCTTCCATATAGCACGGCCCTGTCTGGCAGGGAGAGGGCTGGATTTATCAAAGTTGCAGTTTCACTTTCACTTACAGGTTTCCCAGACATGTAAGTGAATAGGGTCAATGATGTCACTGGTTGTTATGACTGCTATTATACATTATTATATTATTATTATTATACAGGATTTATATAGCGCCAACAGTTTGCTCAGCACTTTACATTATAGTGGGAGACAATACAGCAACAATACAGTTCAAAACAAGAGGGATTTGAGGGCCCTGCTCCTTGGAGCTTACAATCTAGGAGGGAGGGGTTAGTGGTACAATAGGTAATAACTGTGGGGGATGGAGTGGTTGGAAGAGTAGAGGATTCCAGTATTAGCTGAGGGCAGGATAGGCTTCCCTGAAGAGATAGATTTTCAGTGATCGCCTAAAAGTCAGCAGAGTAGGCGATAGTCTGATAGATTGGGGTAGGGAGTTCCAGAGGATGGTGGAAGCAATGGGGAAGTCCTGGAGACGAGCATGGGAGGAGGAGACAAGGGAGCTAGAGAGTAGGAGGTCTTGCGAGGAGCGGAGAGTACAGTTTGGTTATTATTTGGAGACAAGATTGGTGATGTAATTTGGGGCAGAGTTATAAATGGCTTTATATGTCAGTGTTAGTGTTTTGAATTTTATTCGTTGGGCAATGGGAAGCCAGTGGAGGGATTGGCAGAGAGAGATGGCAGATATGGAATAGTTAGAAAGGTGGATGAGTCTGGCAGCAGCATTCATGATGGACTGAAGAGGGGATAGCCTGCGATGAGGTAGACCAATGAGGAGGGAGTTACAATAGTCGAGGCGTGAGATAACCAGGGAGTGAATAAGTTGCTTAGTGGTTTCCGGGGTTAGGAACGGTCGTATCTTGGCGATGTTGCGGAGGTGAAGTTTACATGACATTCTGATCCTGCCAACTCCCAAACAGCTCAAACTTTCAGCTCCTCCCTAAGGAGGATTTACTAGGGGGTTGAGAATCTTTATACAGCAGATTTCTCTTCACTTTGAATACTGATGTGCAGATGAAACAGGAATGTGCTTTTATGGGATTAGATAAATGTAATGATCTAGTTTACAGTGCAATGAACACAACACCTAGTGGTTCTTAGCAAGGTGCTTTAATTGTCAAATAAATAAAGTGTCCGCCTACACCAGTACACCATTATATTAACATGATCCTTAGGTTACCCCGGACAGTTAACTCCCCTCTCACCCAAACACTGGATGGCCAGTGGGTGGTAAAAACAGGTGATCGATTCATGTGTTAACTGCCCACCTACACATTGCTTAGGGTGAAAGTTTTAGGGTACTGTACAGAGCATGTACCTCCACATGTCATCACAGTGCCAGCTTCTTGGTTCTTGCACCTGGCCCTTGGATGACGTGCTGCTGCACATGAGCATCATCAGGGCTTCTTTTACTTGGGTGGCCAGTGGGTAGTAAAAAACAGGTGATTGATCCACATTTTAACTGCCCACCTACACATTGCATAGGGTGCAGGTTTTGGGGTACTGTACAGAGCATGTACCTCCACATGTCATCATAGGGCCAGCTGTCTCTTCCTGGTTTTTGCACCTAGCCTTTGGATGATGCGCTGCTGCACATGAGCATTATCAGGGCTTCTTTTACTTGAGTGGCCAGTGGGTGGTAAAAACAGGTGATTGGTCCATATTTTAACTGCCCACCTACACATTGCATAGGGCGCAAGTTTTGGGGTACTGTACTGAGCATGTACCACCACATGTCATCATGGGGCCAGCTGTCTCTTCTTGGTTCTTGAACCTGGCTTTTGGATGATGCGCTGCTGCACATGGGCATAATTAGGGCTTCTTTTACTTGGCTGGCCAGTGGGTGTTAAAAACAGCTGATTGGTCCATGTTTTAATCACCTAGGGTGCAGGATGTGCTGCTGCACATACGCATCATCAGGGGGACAGCTGCAAGAATTAGGTAGACAACCAGCTCTTGATGACATCAGAGAAGAATAAGTGGTACAGGACTGGGTGAGCAGCAGCAGAGCCCTACAGATCACCACTGGATTTGCTCAAATCCACTCCAAGTGTTGCTCCATGCTTTGTAAACGGTTCCCCAGGCCTCACCATTTCAGTAGCAAGGCCTGGAGGAAGGGAAGGAACTTGTTACCCATCACTTGGTGCAAATTGAGTAATCCTGCTTCTGACAATATAATTAAAGTTCCGGCCAGTGCTTTCTGTCCCAGTGTATTCATATATCTTCACCTATGGGTGAATTGAGGGATGGGGGCCCCGCCAAATAGGATGTACTGGACCCTATGTTTTCTAATGGCTGCCTTGTATGAACTCCTGAGCATACACAGGGGTTACATTATTCTGGCAAGGCCAATGAAGATGGCCAAAGATCCTGAACCCTGAGGAAGACCAGGAGAAGAAGTCGGCATTGGCGAGAAGGCTACGGATGTCACATTACTGGAAAAGATATGTCACCAGCACACCAAGGATTCTCCAAATGAATCCAAACCTTTGTTCAGTGGTCACATCATATTAACAAAGGCCTTTGTTAATATGATGTGACCATTGAATAAAGCGTTGGATCTGTTTGGAGAATCCTTGATGTGCTGGTGACATAAATTCAGCTTTGAATGTCTATGGTTTCCAGTTGTTGGTCGCTGCAGCATTCGCTGACACCTAACAGCTAATTCCAGGAAAGCGTATGTTGAGAATATTTCGATCATCATTGGTGGAGAGGTGAGCATAGTTCCCCTTTAAAGTACAGAGAAAGCCTTCCAATAATTACATACGTATTTTTAGACCTTGAGCATACGTATGGAGCTGACACATAAGAAACACAGCTATTCATTTACTGGTAATTCCATTTTCCAGTACTGTGAAGCAATAGCGCTGTGCGCAGACCCCTCTATCTTTTATCACACAACGCTGTTTTTGTTTGTGAACAAACAGTTAACTTCAATTCTATGCATAATAAATCTGCTTATTGTAACTTGGGTCATCTAAGAGCAGGGAGCGTCAACGGAGATACGTGGAATTGTGGTATCTGAGATAAACGGCGATAGCTCGGAGCCGAGAGCGCTCCCTCCATTGTGCGCATTCCTACACAACAAATGTTATGTTTTACAGAACCTGACACACGTTATTTAAATGCAAATTGATGCTGTGTATTTATATATTTAATATTTCATTTGGCACTTTCAAAGGCTTCTGAAGGTTAAAAAGAAACCCACTTCTGAGTGTGTAAAATGTAATGATTAAAAGAACAACTTGTAATTGTTTCGAGGAAGTTTTTCTGAAACTCTTTGATGTTCCGATTAATGTTTCGGATGTAAATAATTTGATATGAACGCCTGTTTGCTTAAATTCTCGGGCTTTATAATTTTTTTCCCCTTTTTATAGCAGTCAGTAGGTTGCCTTGGCAAAAACATATTTCATCTTAGTGTGCGTCTACAGCTGTAAAACCGCCAAGAAAATGTGTAAAATCGTAATATATTCTGTGAAATCTACAAAGAGGTAATCAAAGTTACTTCAAGGCACAACTAGGAGTTGTCTTGGTTGACAATAGCCGGTATTAACATAAAGGACTGGAGTGCTAAGCATTGCATGTTCCTACTGGGGGGTGCCTGTGTTCCTTAAAGAGCACCTGTCATCACTGGGCTTATGCAAGAATTAGAATTTTTATCTGTATCATATTTGCATATGTTTGTTTTGATTACTCTGTCTGAGAAGGAGTCTCTATGGCCCTATGGGGGGTTTACAGTTGCCAAAACATGCTTTCTCCCAGCTGCTAAGTGTGGGTAACAGAATTATTATTAATTATAGCACTTTTCCCCATGGGAACTTAAAACACTTTATCTGGGGCAGATGCTGAAGCAGTCATTGTGGGTGTGCAGTGGCATAACGTGGGTAGGGCCTCAGGGGCGGTTGCCCCTGGCACAAAATTCTT